CCCATATATAGAGGAGATAATAGAGAACACAGAAAATTTGTATGTGGTTTATTAAATGAATTTTAAAGTAAAGCATACAGATATGCGAAATCTTTTGATGGCACTAATGGCCAGCTAGAATACCCTTCTTCGGTTGAATCAGTCATCTTTAGTAAAACAAATAACTTTTCGGAATATATTTCGTTTATTTATGTAATCGACACAATCGCTTGTGTACTTATCTGTTATTATTATTACAAAATGTCAGTTGTAAAATCCTCCAGAACACCCATATCTTCTCTAATATCTTCTTTACATTTGATTACAAGAGAAATGTAGTTTAAAAAAGCACGCGCTCTATTTAGTTTTTGATGTTAATGTTATTCTGGTGAAGTAAAATTACTTTCCGGTGTTCTCTAATTTCTTCTCTATATATGGGGCTCAATTGTCGGGGGGCTCAACTGTCGGGGCTCAATTGTCGGGGGCTCAACAGTCGGTGTACCATATTCAATCAGTGTTTACAAAGAAATATAAGAATTATTGGATTTTCTACTGGTAAGAAAATAACTGAGTATTTTTAATTCAAATTGTATCAAAGAGTTATTATTTTTTTTATAGATGCTGATGCTAAATATGTACGTGCTATGCGATTAATGAGTAGATTTTTTGCATCTCTTCCTAATTTTCCAGTTCATCAACATCAACAAGCTTTTACAGTAAAATTAAAATCACGTTTGCCTTGGTTTTTTTTACGTGAACAACAACTATTATTATTTTTTCAAGATGCGACACATCTGACTACGAAATGGCGTAATCGTTTATTGTCATCAACAGCTGAATTACGTCTTGGTGATCAATCAATATCGATCAATCATTTATATAGCATTCTTGATAATGGAAATTTTACTAAACTTGATCATGGCTTGACGAAATCTGATATAAGTCCTAAAGATCGTCAGAGTTTTAGTTCCTGTGTAAAATTAATATCTGTTGATTTATTTAAAATCTTAAAAGACAATGTTGATACTCAGGAAACCTTGGTTTATCTACAAATATTAAAAATGATTATAATAGCTTATATTGATAAAAAGCAACAATTGTTGCGCGTGAGTACGCTTTTTTTTATGTTGCCTGAGTGAGAGTATCAAACTCTTCATTTCAGATGTATCACATCTAATAAAATTTTATTTTAAGTCTTGGATCTGCTTGGTGCGTTGTTTGTTTTTGTCGAATATGGTTTACATGAATCAAATTGAAAACATTC